TGAGGAGTGCTGGACTCACTCCTGGGGGGTGTAAGTAAGCTGTTCTAATGCAGAAGACGGGCCAAGGCATAGTTATACCCCAGGAAATCAGTGGCAGCTTCCTGTGTGGCTCAAACATCATCTCTTGCCTATATATCAAGCCCTGTGGCGCTCTGCACATGAAGTGGAATCTTCAGGGCACTGAAGGGTCAAGTCACCTCCTGGTTTGAAGGCAGAGACATTTGTGTCATTCACACTCTGGGTCAACAAGATAAAATACTCTCCTCCTCATTCACCCACAGAGCCACCAAAGATTCCTAGAGCTTCCTGTAGCAGACCTGAGCAGGCCTTGGTGTAAGCTTTGTAGGTAGTGGAGAAGAGGAAGAAATAGCTGAGCAAGGTGGCAGCTAGGAGAGGTACAGGGATAGTGGGGCTCTTGACTCTACCTTTTTTGGAAAGGGTACCAAGCTCTTATCTTGGATAATTGTACCATCAGTTGGTTCAAGAAACCATTTTGAGGGCATGCCACCTCTTCCCTCTAGTAACGATTTATTTGAAGTTTAAATCACACACACAAAAAGTATTCACTCAGAGCTAATTTGAATGGAGGGCATGCTGTTGTAGGGATCAGTACGAGGCTTGATTCAGAGCCCCCGTGGCTTTCCTTCTGCTTCAGAAGTTGTGCCTTCTGTCTTGCTGAGGTCTCTGGCTCGTCTCCTTTCTAGCACTGTGACTTTCTGCTAGCCCATTCCTCAGTGCTTTGGGGATGAAAATTTGTTTTAAACATTAATTAACATAAACATCTCAACCTGTTGCCTCTCACCTCCTTTATCATCCTGTCTTTGTTTAATAATATAATTTTTAAAAAATCATATAATTTTGATCCCACCCTTCAACCTAAGCTAGGTTTTGCCTCTGACCTATAAAAGGCTGTCTCATCCTGCTTTATTTCCTACCTAATCCTTCCCCAACACACCACCTTCATCCATACTGCCCTGCCCTGTGATATACTACAGGCTCTGTTAAGTGGACCTTAGCAAGATAGTAAAGTAGTGATTTAGTGGTGTCATCAAAGTCTAATTGCACATGAACTGTTGAAAGAAAGGTAAAAGGTTTTATGGAAAATCATACCTGATTTGTACAGTATTCTAGGTTGTTTTTTTCTTTCTCTTTAAGGTCAGAGAGAAACATGCATTAAGAAGGAGCTAAATTTAATTCAGTAAATTTTTAAAGGACTTTTGTTAACATTCTTCACAGAGGCCATGCTTTTAAGACAGAAGTTGCTATATGATTTTGAGACTGTTTGTCATGCAGAGGAAACGAGATTTAGGTGTAAAGAAATATCTCTTTGGAAAGAATGCTAATATAATGTTTCTAAAGGTTGAAGTTTGGTTCAAACTTAAGATTTTTATAGATAAAAGTAGGATTTTATATAGAGAAATCAAAAGTCACTGCTTTGAAGAAGTGAAAGGTCAAGCCAGAAGAGATTAAAAAAAGAGAACACACACACCAAGACACACAAAATAAGGGAGGTCCCCAGAACTCTCAGAAAAGTAATGGATTCATATGTGTAGGGTAACATGTGTATGGATGAATCATCAACCAGTGAGGTCATGAACTGTTGACACTAAGGAAAGAAGCCTAAGTGCTGGAAGGAGGGTCCACTGTGTTTCTGTGGCCGGACGTCCTCCTGCTCCCGAGCCATCTTCAGGACAGCCTCTTGGAAGCAACACTGAAACTGAAACACTTCATCTATACAAAGCCATGGTTATGCCTTAGTCACATTGTCTGCATGACCTTATCTAGAAAACACAATGAAAAGACAAAGGTTTTAGGAAAAGCAATAATGGTAAGAGGAAACTGAGGGGAATGTTTGATCAAATGTCCAGGTAAGAGCAGGGATGTGCTCATGAGTTGCTGAAGTGCTAGCTCGAGGGCTCTATTTCCTAGCCTTAGGTAAAAAAAAGCACTTCTCATAGCAAATCAGAAACATATAGAGCTTTTTGTCCAGGAAGTGGTAGCAGCAGAAACGACAGAGGAGCCCAGGTTTAAGAAAATACTCTAGACCATGGCCTCCCTAGGGGGACTGTGGCAAATAGGGCCTACTTGGAGATAATACAACTGAGAGGGTGACTGCATGTCTCCAGACTCCTAAATGCTTCAAAGGCAAATGCCGAACTTGGGGGCTCACTGGTTCTCTCAAGCATGGCATTTCTATTGTTCTTAGGAGATGGTGTGGGGGTGGATCCGGTAGACAGGAAATAGAATGATTCAACTTCAGGGTCACTTGAAATGGTTTAAAATCACATTTCTAGTCTCTTCCTTTGCTCTCTCACCATATACCTCTGGCATCCCTACAAGCAAGGAAAATGATAGGCTAGGTAGGAGACAGTAGAAAATGTAGCAAACAGGCCAACTCCTTTATAGCCAGAGCTCAGTTTTCCGGGACCTCTGGGCAGGAGCTCTTGTTGATATAACTTGAATCCTACAACATGACTTCTTATGTGGCAGCTTTGGCCATTGTGTCTTGAAATCTTCCCTCAGGAAGTGTGGCAGGGGTCATTACCCATGAGATTTTGGTAAAAATCATCTTTGTGTAACTTTATACTCCTGTTCACTGGGGAAAGACTTTTTCATAATGAAGAAATGTGAACTGGCTGGTAGTCCTCAGGATAAGTGTAAAGAAAAAAAGAGTAAAAAAATCCTTCTTTTTGGACTGCTTAAGATTTCTCAGAGCCGGAAGACTTCAAACAAGAAATAACAATACCTCAAGAAAATGTCTGGAGTGATGATCCCCACAGACTTCAGTTCATGTACATTATCATTTCAGCTGTGAGGCATTTATGCCCATGTATTATCTGTGATTGTCTGGGTTTCCTGTTTACATGGATATACTGGGGATATGTGTTTTAGTGCATATGGACTAGAAGTCCAAACCCTCTCTTTAGCTGAGCTATAGGGATGGTTATCCATCTTAACAAGTTCTCTTTCAGCTCATTGGAATAATGAACCTAGTCTCTCACTTAAGACAAAGAGAACGTGTGCTATTTATGTGATGGCTGCCTTTTAATCTCTTATGTCTCCTGACTCAATTTGCCTAAACATTGATGTCCCTTTTCTCATGGTCCCCAAACTAAGAGTCCTTGTGTATGAAATAATCCTAGGGAAAATAGCACCACTTCTACTGTCCAGCCTACCCAACACCATGACAAGTGTATCCATCCATTCAGTTAATTTCCATTAGCTCACCCTCAGATTAGTTCTGGGGGAGAGAAGAAGGTAGATTCTGTTCACATCTTTACACAGGTTAATTTGGTTTCCTTATTAAACATCTAAAGTCAGTTCTAGCAAAATCACAAACCTATGAAAACAATTTAACTTTAATGCAAAGCTAACAGGATGATACTTGATTACAAGAGAGGTACAAAAGCTGTGTCACTGCTTTTGATTTAACCAGTGGTCATTTGAGCCAATGTGTTTTAATGCACCATCCTTTCAGAGCCCAGGGCCTTTTCATAGCTGCTGCCCCACCTTGTTAGAATAGGCACATTCCCTCTGCTTTCTGGGTGGATCTGGATGGGAGCTGAGGTTGAGCTATCGCACAACACACCAGGAGAGAACCTTTAAGTTAGAACTACATACAACAGGTAGAATTCCTTTAACCATTTAAAAAAATTATTGTAATTGCTATGAGAATATCTTGGTTTTGTCCATTTATGTTTCTGGTATTTTTGCCTGAGTTTTAAAAGCATTTCTTTGCTGTGTCTTCTCCACTGACTACATATATGTGGAAATTCATGCATTTTGGGTATCAGATACTAAAGTCAGGTTTTCTCAGCCTCATGAGTCTAAGCTGTTTCTCCCTAAACTGGGTGCTACACAGAATTGGAATCTTTATTAAGACATGCTCAGGAAGGCTTCAAAATGCTTCTCCCTTTGACAGAGCAAAAAACTGGGAATTGCCATTTATAGATAGTAGCCTTATTTCTGCTAATCACTGTCAATAAAAGGTCACTCCATTCCCCTCTTTTTTTAGGAAACCAATAAGAAATGTATCAGTGAACTGGAATCCTGGTCAGTATTGAGAAATTTTAATGTTGCAATTTCTAATCAAACCTTGAGTGTACTGGTTCTGTGAACCACCTAAGGAAAAAACACAAATTAAACTGATTATACTATATTGACTGTGGTATGTCTTGTTTAGAGGAATCCAAAATATGTGAACTTTTATATTACTTAAAAGTTGTACTTTACAACATACATTTTAGGACATATTTTAATGATTTAGGTGGAAAGCTCAAATGTTCACAAAGAATGATCAGTGTTTCCCTATGCCAACCAGAAAATGAACACACGTAAGGCAAGTTGGAAAAGTTTAATGATCACTCACCAGTATTCACAGAACAGTGTTAAATGTTTACAGGGACAAACTATTCCATACTTTTGTCACTATCCTTCATGGTAAGGTATTGAAAGTCCCTCATATGCTTGGGCTGTAGTGGTGGCATTTCTCCCCACTTCTCACACACGTCCAGTGCTAAACAGGGTAAGGAGAAAGTGTCTGTTACCACACAAGTGTTTATGAATCATATTCTTTTGAGTTCCCAATTCTCAAACATGTCTGGCTGTTTCATCTACTTAAAACCAGATCTCAGAAACAGCCTCAGTCATAGCAACTTCAGGCTTCAATGTGAAGCTATCAGAAGGCTTCCATGGATGGATTTTCTCTCTGAGAGCAGTTCTCTTGGCCAGAGAATGCTCAAGGCCCATATAACTTATTCTTTGAACTAGCCAAGAAACAGTTAAATGCCTCCAAATGCCCAGGAGGTCCCCTTATTTAGTCAAGGCAAGTATGAAGGGTGCATGCCGCCTTCTTTGTGACACATGAGTTCTGAAGAAGGCATTAAAATCTTCAGATCCTTGGTGGTTTGAAATCCTGAACCAGTGCCGAAAGGCTCATGTGATAGGAAAACGACCGCCAGGACTTCTTCATTCAGTACCAGGCCTTTCCCAGTTTGGGCTTAGAAGAAGATGATTTTTTTGTGCTTTGAGTTGGGGATTTGTCCCTTTGACTTTAACCTCCGAACAGCTTCCCTCATATGCTTGGGCTGTAGTGGTGGCACTTCTCCCCACTCCTCACACACGTCCAGTGCTAAACAGGGTAAGGAGAAAGTGTCTGTTACCACGCAAGTGTTTATGAATCACATTCTTTTGAGTTCCCAATTCTCAATAACCCCTTCCAAAGTTTGCTAAGAGGAAAGAAAACATTTTCCTAAGAATGCTAAAAAATATATCACATTAGTGTTATAACACTTAAAAATATTTGGCTACTGGTAGTAATGAGCTGCCACAAGGGTCTACTCATTTTATCACGAGTGAGCCCAGTAATTATTTTTGTTGTATCTTTACCTTGGGCCACAAAAATGTGCAAAGTTCACTGAAGAAAAAGACAAAGCCTGCTTCTGTTCCCCTGTGCTGAGAAATGGAACTAGGGAGGAGGCTTCCTAGAGCTTCCTTGTCTCCAGTATTAAAACTCTCAAGGAATAATGGTCATACTTTCCTGAAAATAAGGCCCTCACTCTGTCAATTCTAGTCATGGGGAAAAACCCATTACATAAGTAAGTACCTTAAAAAAATCCTGTGATTAGAATGCCTGACTGTGACTCCCCAGTTGCATTTTCAAGGCTATAAATCTTTACAGGAGACAGCCCAGTTGTTTCCAGGAGAGTGTCCAGGGGATTCCTGCTGCCATTGAGCTGGTAAGCAGCTTGACGTGACATTCCATACACACCACAAGGACTTCTTAGTAAGTACCTGAGCATACATATTCTTGAAAAGTACCACAAGCTCAATCCAGCGTTTGAACCAGTACTACTCACCTTCTTCTACCACCTCCCCAACGAAGACTTTAGAAATACCAGACATGGCAATAACAACATTCTGAGACACAGAGGTGCCAGTGATGGACTGGATCAGCCTGAAAGGAGGACAAAGATTCTTTGTGATTATGATAGTCAAGGACTGACTTTGGAAAATAGTACCCATAAAAGAGCTTTGTACTGAAAAAGTGCTTATACAACGGAGACTACTATAGCAAGGACCCAGGTGTTAATGTCTTATTCTGTACATTGAAACCCTATCCCAAGAACACAGGACTACAACTGGTAAGGCATGTTAATTTTGTTTCTCCACCTAAATGGCCCTCTAATGTGTCTAAAATCTCCCTTCAAAATGCCAATGAATACAGTTCCGCCAGCTCAGTTCTCTTCCCCCTTTTTTATTATTATTATTAGTGTGTTTGTGTGTGTGTGTGTGTACCGTCAAATCGGATCTGACTGGTACAGGAGGAGATTGTCCCTCCTTTTCCTGGCAGAGCATCTCATGGATTTGAACCTTGCGCCTCTGGGATTGCAGTGCAGCTTCTTGCCACTAGGCCCCCAGAGCTCCCCCCCCTCTTTTTATTTATTCATTATTGTACGTTTTCTTCTCTCTTCCCTCCCACTTTCCCAGTCCACCCTGTAGTGCACCCCTTTTTCCAGATTGTTCTCATACCTATAATGCACAATCATATATTCCTTTCAGACAGTTCTTCCTCTCATTTGTTCCAATACAGTGTTCATTATCCACTTTTTTCTCACTCCTTCCCTAACCTCCCCCATGTTTATTCTATTTTATAACAGCAGTATTTATCCTTTTGTGACTGAGATACTTCACTTAGCATAATGTCTCCAAGACTCCCCCATGTTGAGTAATATTTTACTGTTTCATTGTTTTTTAATGCTGCACACATTAAGCGGATTTATCATAGTTTTTTCTATGCATTCATTTCTTGATGGGCACTTGGGTTGCTTCCACCTCTTTGCCACTGTGAATAATGCAGCAATAAACATGGGTATGGTCAGTTCTCTTATGTGATGGAAAGGAAGTGTATTTATTCATCCTTACCCTTTTAATGGCTGCCTTGGGGAAAGCTGACCGGCGATACATTTCATAACGGTTCAACTGCTCCTCAGAAAAAGAAGAAACCAGGATTCTAGAGAAAATTTCAGGTAATTACATTAACTTATTAAGAACAAGTGCTCATAATATACTGTTACATGAACAAAACCAAGTCTTAGAAATCAGATAAATTCTTAAGGGATCAACTCCATTTCTCCTCTTATGGAACTTGAGGAAAAACAATATATTCCTTCAGCACAGAAAAACTTAAGTATCAATGCTGCATTACCACTGAATCACACTATATTGACTGTTTTCAGTATCAGAAATTCTTTCTCTCCCCAACCACATTTGAGATTGATGGTGAAAATTTAATATATAAAGTTCAAACAAGCAAACTTTCAACATTGAAAATTTTTAGGGAAAAAGAATTTGCAAAGTATATGGAAAAGGGTTTAATAATGTTTAGAAATAGTTGTTGTGTACAATCTAGTCAGAACTGACCCATAGCTGACCCTCCCATCTGTTTTCAGAAGCACTAAATTGCGTGGGAGGAAACTGCTCATCCTTCTCTCCTTCACCATGTACCTTTGGGTTGGCAGCGCAATTCCTTACCATTTAGCCACCAAAGCGCGCTTAAGAAATATTTAGGTCTTAGGGAGCTCTGGTGGCCTAGTGGCAAGAAACTGTGCTGCAATCCCGATGCTCTGTTGGAGAAGAAGGGACAATTTCCTCCTGGGCCAGTCAGATCTGATTTGACCGTACACAAAAAGGGAAAAAAAATTTAGGTCTCTAAAATCTATATGAAGATGACCATCCCAATTTTTTAACACATTGCCGCAAATGATGGCAAATGTGTTTCTAAACATGGTCATCAATTTTAAAAGTGTGTGGCTATGTGTTAAATGAGCAAAAGCATCAAGGGGAAATTTATGAATGGTCAATAAATATAGAGGGAGGGGGAAAACCCATCCCCCAAAATAAAACTTCACTATTAAGAAGTCAAAATTACAAACTAGGTGACATTTTCCACAAGCCAGCTAAGTAAATGCTTAAAGAATGGTAGTAGCAAGAATGTAGAGACACAAACTGGGAACTAAAACTACCAGTTTAGAGAGGAAAATGAAAATATGTATTAGAACCTTGGAAAAGATTTATAGTGTTTCAACTATTAAGGTTTTTATTGTAGGAAATACTCAGAAAAGTGTACAAATGTGCTTAAAGAGTTATCATTTTGTGGCCAAAAAACCAAAAAAGGGAGCAACCACAGGAAATGGCTAAATTATAATTAATAAGTGGTGTTAATCCACATAATCTGATAATTAAAAAGAATGATTTATGGGGCTATTTATGAATATGAAAATATATACAACAAAATCTCAAAGCAGAAAAAATCTGAAAAGGCATAATTTTTTTTTTAAAAAAAGGCAAAATAATTAAACATTCACTCACTTGTTCACCCATTCATTGCCTTAGAGTCAGAACCGACTCAGAGCTGACCTCCAGTGTCTGTCAGTGTAAACTGCATGGGAGCAGGGCAAGTTTCTGGGCTATGCCAACTAAGTATTATAACCACATAAATATTCAGGGTAAATTGGGATTATAGGTAATAATTTTTCAGTATTTGCTTAATATTTTGCAATCAGAAAACATCATAAAACTTTAAATTTTGAAGAAAATTATGACCTAGATGTACAATGATCAGCATATATAATGTTCATCATGTACAAAATGAAAAAGGTCAAGTTATAAAACAATATTTTTGAAAAACCTTTTACTTCCATGTATGTCTGCAAAAGAAAATAGCTTAGAAAAAAAACTATTTCAAGAGTTTCTAATCTGGTGGTGAGGTGATATTTTTTCTTTCCTTAAATTTTCTACAATGTATGTTTTAAAAGATTTAAAAAATTGCTTTAATAATTGCTTTAAATTAAAAAAGGAAAACGGTATCAAAAGTTAAGAAAAAAGGTACTCATTTTATGTGCTCAAAATTCTCCCCTTGAAAAGTGAGAAAAGATTAAAAAATTACTTAACTGCATCTTCTGAATCTCGTCTTCATCCACTTTCTGCGTCTTCTCTTTCTTTTCTTTGGTATCTACTTTCAATTTTTTGGCTGCAGGAGTAAGTAATGATGAGTCGTCTCTTTCAGGTGGTGTTAAATCTGAGAGGTCCTGACTCTTGAGCAAAGGAGATAAAGAAACCCTATTATATATTTGACCTACTTTTCAGGTTTGGGCAAGGTAAGAAGCCATCATCTTTATTACAACAGAACCGAACCCACTTATTTCAATTTTTTGATTCTACACATTAGCCATACCAGTAAGTGTTGGCTTTATGAAAGGAAGTTTGCAGCCTAACTGTGGAAAGAAATCAACTAAATAATCCAGTTACCTAGTTTAGTTGTAGCTACAATATCTGCTTAGGAAGATAATGAATGAAATAGCAAGGATCAGCAAATCACTTTCTCCCTTGGCCCACTATTTTTTTTTTAAACTGGCTTACTTACTTACAAAGTTCATATCCATTGTTTGGCCCATTATTTGGACTTCATTCCTTAGAACGGATGTCAGCAAAACATGCTTTATCTAGGCCTTTGCTCTGTCTCCACATTTATAGATTTCTTTACTACAGATGATTTCATTTTTGTTGTGTGTCGTTGAGCCGGAACCAACTCAGAGCTGGCCCTCCAGTGGGTTTTACAAGACACTTTAGTCACACAGCAGATGATTACCCATCTTTCTCCTACAGAACACCGGGTGGATATGAACCATGTACCTTTGGTACTGCAGCGCAGCTCCTTACTACTAGGCCACCAGAGCTCCCTAGATGATTCCTTAAAGGAAAAGATACTTAAAATGAGGCCTTCTTGTCAAAGCAAGAGAAGTTCTTTCCACCTGGGATTTTACATGTTACCACATGTTGTCTCCTCTTTTTCCTGTCCATTTTTCCTATTGTATAATGCAAACTTTCACTTCCTTTTAATAGAATGAACAGAACTGAAGACACTGTTAGATGCCATCAAGTCAACTCTGGCACATAGCAACCCTAGAGACTGAAACCTGCCCAATCCAACAGTATCCCACCAACTTCCTTATGCTTTTTTCTCTCTCCCATAAGGATTAACATAGCTTTACTCAAGTTAGAGGTTCAGTAAGTTTAACTAATGAAACAGATGAGATGATTGAACTTCTATTTTTCTAAAAAGGAATCCACATTCAAATTCACAAGAGAACATGGCAATAAGGGTGAGAGTGGAAATAAAAAAAAACTATAACTTTGACAAATGTTTTTCTTTTCTAGTTATGATTTATACTCGTTTCTGGTGATTTATATCTTCCTAGAAAATCACTATTTTTTCTTAGACTTAAAAATTTGAATGGTTTAAATTTGAACATGAAATTTTCCTATAATGTTAATTAGAAATCAGTGTTACAGCCCTTTGAATTTTGTAATGTACATTCACACTTCAGATAAACAGACCGTAACTTTGTGATTTTAGAGTTTTTAAAGTGCCAATCTATTTTTATCTTTATTTATTCTTTTCCCCCCATATTCTTCTGGTTTACTTTGCTCTTTTTTTTCCTGGTTTTTTAGTTATTTTCAGTTTCTCCTGTTTGTGAATAAAAATCCTTAAGGTTATGAATTTTTCTCCAAATAATACTTTGGTCACATTATGTACTGTTTACTGTGGACTGTTGCTGTTGTTGTTAATTTCTTTGACTTAAGGAGCCCCACTGGTATATGTCAGGCTGTTAACTGAAAGGCTGACAGTCTGGACCCATTCCACAGAAAAAAAGCTGGGCCGTATCCTCCTGTCAAGATTTATAGCTTTGGAAAACCTATGGGAGGATGCTGTAAATTGGAAACAACTAGATGAAAGTGGGTTTGATTTTGGTGAGTTTATTGTTTGTTGTTGGGTACCTGACTCAATAGTGACTCACAGTGACCCTATGTACAACAGTTCTAAAACCTGTCTGATTTTGCAGTATCTTCACAGTCTCCACTATGCTTAAATTAATTTGCAGTCACTGGGTGAATCCATCTATTTGAGGAGCTTCTTCTCCTTCAATGACGCTCTACTTTTTCAACCATGAAATCCCTTTCTAAGGATGTTCTCTCCTGAAAACATGCCCAAAGTATGTGAGACAAAGTCTCACAAGCCTCTAAGAAACACTATTCCTTCCCCAAACAGATTTGTTTGTTCTTTTGGCAGTCAATGGGATATTCAGTACTCTTAGTCAATACTATAATTCAAAGGCATCAATTCTTCTTCAGTTTTCCTTATTAATTGTCTAACTTGTAAATGCATAGGAAGCAACTGAAGACTATGGCTTGGAACTGGCCCTTAGTCTTTAAGAGCTCTTTAGCTCTTTGGAGAGGTCCTTGGCTGTCAATTTTCCCACTGCAACACATCATTTTTATTTCTTGACTGCTACTACCATGGGTGTTGAATGTAGATACAAGTCTTTTCTCTATTTATCATGATGTTGTTACCTTGCCTATTGTTTCAGTTGTGAGAATTTGTTTTCCTTATGTTGAGGTGTAATTCATATTGAAGGCTGTAGTCTTTGATCTTCTTCAGCAAGTGCTTCAAGTCTTCTTCACTTTCAGCAGCTAGGTTGTGAGAATGGCGCAAGATAGCACAAGGTTCAGATCTGTTCAATGGGGCACTGTGGGTTGTAGTTGATTCAATGACATATCAATGATCTTTGTTTCTAACTTTTACTTTGTAGTGACCAATTATTAATTTTTGTCAATGCCTTCAGTGCAACTTGAACGTCTTCCTTCATTACCACTGGCTCTTGATCAGATGCTACTTCCTGAAAAGCTTCAAAGCCACTGTAAAATGACTGTGTGTCTTCCTTTCATTATTTTAAATATGGAAGTCTCCATGAATTTACATGTCATTGTTGCACAGGTGCCATGCTCAACTTTGTATCCGTCCAGTTTTAGTATGTGCTGCCAAAGTGAGCACTCCTTCCATTTTCTTTTAATGCTTTCTGTGTCTTTCAAAATTTTGCCCATAGAACCATTCAGAAGGTTTATCATTTTTGCCTCCAAGGAGCACTCTGGCTGTACCTTCTTCAAAACATACCTATTTTTTTTGGCAGTTCATGGGATAGTCTGTATCCTTCTCTAACTGCTCAAAGGCATCAATTCTTCTTCTGTAATCCTTATTCATTATCCAACTCTTAGATACATAGCAAGTGATTGGAAAAGATTGTGGCCTGAATCAGTTGCACCTTAGTCATCAAACTGACATCACTGTTCCTCAGTAATTTGGAGAGGTCCTTTATTGCGAACTTTCCAGCACAATACATCTCCTGATTTTCTGACTGCTGGCAAAAAGACTGTGGATGTACACCTTTCCTAATTTTAAGCCATGTATTGTTCCTTTGGTCAGTATACACAATACGCAATCAATATGCACACTAGCTTCTTGGTCTGGTGTGGGTATAGGTTTTGCATGAGTAGAATTAAAAGTCTAGAATTTCCATTCTTCTCAATATAACCCATAATTTGTTATGATCCACACAGTCTAATGTCTTTCAATAGTCAATAAGGACAAATAGACATTCTTTTGGTATTCATAGAGTGAGTCAATATTGAAAATTATTTCATTTTACTTGGACTCACAGTGTCTACAGTAGCAGCAGTCAAGAAATTAAGACATGATACACTGGGAAATTCTGCTGTCAAAGACCTCTCCAAAGTATTAAAGAGCAATGACGTAAGCTTAAAGACTACAGTGGGTCTGATCTAAGTCATGGTCTTTTCAGTTGCTTCTTATGCCTGTGAAAGTTGTACAATGAATTAGATGACTGAAGAAGAATTGGTAACTTTGTAGTGTTGGCAAATTGTACTGAATATAGCATGAACTGCCAAAAGATTAGACAAATCTGTCTTGGAGAAAGTGTAAGCAGTGTGCTCCTTAGATGCAAGGATGATTAAACTTGGTCTCACATACTTTGGGTATCTTATCAGGAGGGGCTAATCTGTGGAAAAAGACATTATCCTGGGAAGAAAGGTGGAAGATTAGAGAAAGACGGGAAGACCCTCAACAAGATGGACTGACACAGTAACTGTAACAGAGTCTGTGTGTGGCAGAGGTTGTGAGAATGGCATAAGATAGGACAAGGTTTAGATCTGTTCAGTGGGGCACTATGGGTTATAGTTGATTCAATGACATATTGACGATCTTTGTTTCTTTTACTTTGTAGTGACCAATTATTAATGCACCTTGACTATATATTTGAGCAATTTCAAACAGCAGAAGGTGGCAGAAATCCTCAGTTTCTTCATCTTTGACTTTAGTGACTGATGCATAAATTTGAATAACAGATGGAACAGGTCTTCCTTGTATGCATATGAGTATTATCAGCACATTGTACTTCAGGACAGATCTTGAAATGTTCTTTTTGGCAATGAATGAGAGACATTATTTGTCTTCAATCTGTAATTTTTGGCATGGTAGATGATCACATGACTGATAAAAAAATTACCAATTCCAGTTCATTTCACATCACTAATGCCTAGGATATTAATCTTTCTTCATTTCATTTCATTTTATTTTTGACAACTTTCAATTTTCCTAGATTCATCTTTTGTATACTTCATGTTTCAAGTAGTAATGAATGTTTGAAGCTTTTCCTCTTCATTTTGAGTTATTCCATATCAGCAAATGAAAGCTCTTCATTAGCTGACAGCTCTACTCCATCTGCATCAATAGGCTAGATACTTTGAGGAGGCAGCTCCTCCCAGTTGGATTTTGAGTGCCTTCCAACCTAAGGGCTCACTGTCAGGCACTGTATTGGGTAATGTGTTGCTATTCCTAGGGTTTTCAATCATCCATCACTTCAGAAGAGGATAACCAGTCCTGCTTCTTAGTCTGTTAGCACTCCTGAAGTCTACTTCCTATGAATCACCCGAAGAGTCACATTATGGGGGACCCACTGGTGGGTTAAGAACTAATTTAAAATGTCCTATTAGATTTTTGTGGAAGAGAAATGGATGTTTGGAGAGTTCTTTATTAATTTTAGGTTTTACTGCCATGAGTTGGAATCAATGTTACGGCAACTAACAATTGCTTTGTATTAACAGAATGTCAGTGACTTTGAATTGTAGTTTGTCATAGAGTATTGAGAATTTTCTGAGCCGCTAACAGAACAAATAAATTTGTTTTGAAAGAAGTGCATCCAGCATGCTCTTTAGAGGCAAGGGTGACTTTGTCTCATAGACTTTGGGCATGTTATCAGGAGGGACACTCCTTAGAACAGGATATTATGCTTACAAGAAGGGGGTCAGCAAAGGAGAAGATGACCCTCAAAGAGACAGACTGACACAGTGTTTGCAACAATGGGCTTAAGCACAGTGGAGAGTGTTAGGATGGCACAAGATCAGCCAAGTTTTCAATCTGTTGCTGTACACAGGGCTGCTGTTAGTCAAAATCAACTCAACAATAACAGCAGCAGCAGAATGTGTCCTGTCATGATTTCTACAGTTAAAAATTATGTTTTTGTTTGTAGTCTAGTACATGATCAATACTTTATTTGAAAAGTGTTTAAAAGCATCAAAATATTTAGATTTTCTGCTGGGTTTAAAGTTCATTTTGTACTGAGTTATTTACTCTCAGGTAGTGTTGTTAGTCACCATCTAATAAATCTGGACTCCTGGTCACCCGATGAACAGAATATCACCTTTTCTGATATTTCATAATAACTGGCATATTTCAGACCATTGTTATGGCCATTTAATGCCTTCCAACCTAGGTAGTTAACTTTACAGCATGATATTGGACAGTATTCTGTTTTCGCCCTAGTTTTCACTGGATAATTTTTCCAATTACCAGGGTTTTCATCCTAGTCTTACTCTAGAAACTCCACTGAAATCTGTCCACCATTAGCAACTCTGCTGGTATTTAAAATACTGTAGGCATAGCTTCCAGCATCACAGGAAGACATTAGCCAATACAGTATGGCAACCTAACATGAATAATGGAGTTCTTTACTGGCACAAGCTAATTATTTAATTTTTTTCTGTTAACATCTGTTCTAAAGGGTCTTTCATAAAATGGTTCCATCACATCCTTTTTATATATATTTTGAGACAACTTTGTGCTCTGAAAGGCTATTTCTATAAAATCGAATGTGGACTCCATAATGTCTTAACTCTCTTCTCTAAGATTCTTTCTCTAGAAATGGAACACAGAGAATCCTGAGATTCTGGTCCTTCGGCAGAGCCTCCTCTAGGCAACACTGTGAGCTCCAGGGGTGACACAAATAATAGATCTTGTGTTTTTATGCTCTACAGACTTTCTGACATTAGCACACAACATACCTGATAGCAGATAAATGTCCCCAGAGAGTAAGAATGTGATTAAATAAGTACTTGCAAGTTTCCACTGAATGGATCTGCCAAAAGTTTAAGCAACATCTAAGAGTTTGTACTGTGGCATTAGTTGTTCAGTTGTAGAACACTGGGGTGATCACAAGCTCAGGTGTAGCCTGCCTGTAGCTATGATGCTAAACAAGTTTTAGTGCTGCTTCCAGACGAAGACAAATTTAATTCATGGCATCTAATTCAGTAAATCAGTCAATTATAAATATATAATCCAATGGTTCAATGAATCAGTCATGGGGATGGCACAAGACAAAGGGCATTTAAATTTGTTATTCATGGGGTTGCCAGGAGTCTGGCCATTCTAGCGTATTCAACAACAAAAGGTCTCATATTGATAGCGTGATATCATGACAACTGTCGCTAATTCTGGGTTATACTGGTTATTGCCCTATGTCTCAGTGTAACACCGGTCCCAATTTCCTCACCACAGACCTTAAAATTTCCTAACAAATAGCTTAACCCTTAAAAGTAGTGAAAGAAAATATTAATCCAGTGAGCGGGTCTCTGGAATGTAATCAGTACTAGGGATTCCCCCGCTGATTTGACAAGTTAGAGGGAGACGTTTTGAGTTTGAACTCTCGTAGCTTGGAAGGGATCAACCATGACCTGGCAAGCAGAGAGTAACACAATCTGAGAGTACTTCTCCGGCCTCAACACGCCTCCCTACCTCGCTTTCCTCCACTGCGGTTTCTTTCAAGTCCCCATCTCCATCCCCTTCAGATTCCTCAGGGATTCTGTCCGTTTTGGTGGTTCCTGGACCCAAGGGTGCAGCAGATGTCTCAGTCGACTCCCCTGTTTCTCCACCTTTGTCTGCGGGCGATTCGCAGGCATTATCCATTTTTTCCGAGAAGACGAAGAGACGCTGACGCTGTCAGATGCTGGAGCTCTGTCCCTTGTGGCACCGCAGCAGAGAAACATCTTCTTGTCGCGCTGTGATGACGTCATCCCTACTGTTCGTCGGAGGGGTCAATTAGATTCACAGAGGAGGCATTTGGGGATTCGCTTTAAGATAAGGTAGTGGTCGGGTTAGGGAGAATTGGAGTGTGGAGTTCAGTTTGTGGATACCTCGCAAGTATTTGTGAATGGACACACTTTCGTTAACGCATGGGGCTTTCCCTCCTCTTTCCGCTTTTTAAATTTTTTTTTTTTAAACTTGTTTTGTGCCATCAAATCGGATCCGAGTGGTACAGTTGCCCCTGCTTCTCTAGCTGAGCATCTGTTATATTCGAACTGCGCGCCTTCGAGATTGGGCCGCAACTTCTTGCCATTAGGCCACCAGAGCTCCCTCTTTCTGCATTTTTGACACTGTAATGTCAGTAAACATCCACCTTCACTTGCTTCTCTTAGAGTAAAGATATTTCGGGAACACGAATGGGGACTTAGTTCTGTTGTATGCCAGTATCATGAGATGCAGCTACGCTGAACTGCTTTCAGGTAGAGATAGGTATCCCTTACGTGGAAACCGCGGGTTTAGATTTACAAAAAAGATTTGCTACAATTTCCTTCGGTTACGTATTCACTTAAAAAAGAATATAGATTAAGTAGATTTATTTAATCAATCCACAACTACTGAGCGCCTCCTGAGAGAACAGTGCTAGGTTGAACAAAATTGGAGGGACAGAGCAGGAAAGGAAGAATCAGCATGAGATGGATTGACTGACTCAGTGACTGGAGAAAATGGATTAAGTCTGTGGGAGACGATGAGATTGGCTCGGGTAGGCTAGGGCGGGTTTCAGAGCTAGTGTCGCTGAGTCGCAGGCGATTCCATGGCACATAACAACCCAATTAAATTATTTTTACAGCTCAAGGGTAGTTAGATCAAAGTCAGCTGTGAAACTGTGAAATCTATGCCGGTTTGGTCAATGTCATAAAAAAAGCTAAAAGAGACAAATATTTTCCAGTGTTAAATTATCTTTCCCACATTTCACTCTAATGAGTAGTTTCAGCGATGGGGAGGATGAACAGGCAAAAATAAATTTTTAAATTTCCTCTCTTATGTCCTTTGAGCACATTAAGAAAGTACTAGCAAATAGCACATTTCGTTATTTTCTTGTATCATTAAATTTCTGTCCATTAAATATTTAACATGTGCGTGGCTAAAAGAACGAACTAGGAAACGTAGTGGAGCGTTACCGTATCTCTTTGTTTCTACACTGCCTAGATGAATTACCGTATTGTCTATACCGTGGGCTCCCAAACCTTTGGTGAGGGAGCACACTTTAGGAAGACTGAACAGGTGGACCGCGTTTGTCCCCTTAAACTTGTAAAGTGAATGACCACTTGCTGTAGCTTTCTCGCTCTCTGGCTCTAAAAGCACAGCCAGGTCTGTTGCGAGCCGGCGCACTTCACCTGCGCCGGCCTTCCGAGCCCCGCCCAGCAGGTGGGCATGGGGGCGGGGCTCAGAGGCGCGGTGACGCGCCACGCCAGATCCCGGAAGTGACGTGGGCGTGGGGAAAAGGCGGGGGGGGGAAGGGGGGTGGTGTCCCCGGCCGGTTTAGGGGGTTCGTTGCCCGGAGACGGAAAGTTTGGGAACCCGAGCGGGCTTGGCTGCAGCCCCGGGCCCGGGTCTAGGGGGCAGCGGCCCTGGGAATGGGGAAGGAGCAGGAGCTGCTAGAGGCGGCCCGCACCGGCCACCTCCCGGCTGTGGAGAAGCTGCTGTCCGGGAAGCGGCTCTCCTCGGGCTTCGGGGGCGGCGGCGGCGGTGGTGGTGGCGGCGGCGGCAGCAGTGGCTCCGGGGGCAGCGGCGGCGGCCTCGGCTCCTCGAGCCACCCGCTCTCCAGTCTGCTCAGGTGAGAACGCGCCGAGACCGGGCCGCCGCCTGGATACCCACCTCGTTCCCGCTGGTTTCCTGATCCCCAAGAGAGGTTGGGGCTGACGAGACCTGGGCGGGGTGGGCTTGCAGGTCGTGCTGGGGCGAGAGTAGGCGACCCGCGGGACCAGGAGCTAGAGGTGCCGCTGGTTCGGATCCGCGCGCCGCCGGGCGCTCCACCTCTCCTAACCCGGCGGTGAAGAATGGTGGGAGTGCCCAGGTGGCAGCCTGCGCCGCATGGCACAGCTCGGTTTCATCCTCGCCCGCTCCAGGGTGCCAGCTGTCGTATCTCACAAGCCACTTTAGAGCAAACTATTTTTTAAATCTCCCTCACCTCCTGCTGAAACTCCCACGCTTTGCAATCCCTTGCTTCCCTGGAAGAAATTTTTATCAATTCCTTTCTCTTCGGAACTTGGCACCTTCCACCAGGCAGTGTAGGATTTGGCTTTTGTTAAAAACTGTCTTTGGACTTGTCACGTTTGAAGTGTTGTTCTCTGAGCCCCCCCTTGCGTTTGAAGCTTGAATTCTAGTTCCTTGTACTGGACTTGGATTGGTCTGTTAAGTGGCATATGCTGGATTCATCAGAGTTTTTTTCATCAAGATATAGAGGTTTAGAAGGGGTTGTTTAGGAAACGGAGGGGTGCTTTAAACTTCTTCAAGATCTCTTGCTAAAATAAACACTTGGCTTTGGAGTTGAAAAGATTGAAGGGAAAAAAGTCACTATTGTGTGGTTTGGAAGAGGGAAATTGAAGGTGCTTTGTCAATGCTAGTTGAATTGTTAGTATAGCAACACTTTCATAGCCTGTTTTCTTTTCCTTCCTTGTTCTTTGAGGTTTTTAAGAAGTGGAAGTTCCTTTAGAAATGGCATCGTTGGCTTTTGTTCCCCATTAATTTATGTAACTTCAACTCGAGTGTGTGTAAACAGGGTTTTAATTAATTACTAAATGTCAGTAACACTGAGTACCAACCTAACAGAAGGATTTTAGCCAGCAGTGCTGTGTAAATCTTTGGAAAGGGACATGATGCTCAGAAAGATGGGGAGGGTCAGAAGGAGAGGAAGACCCTCAACCATGTGGATTGACACAGTGACTGCTGCAGTAGGCTGTAAAGTGTGGGGAAGTATCAGGAGGATGGTGCAGGATAGGTTATGGTTCAGATCTGTTGTTCATAGGGTCGCTATGGGTCATACTTGACTCAAAGGCACCTAACAATAACAACAACAACAACAACTGTAAAAGAGACCTCTCTCCCCAAGAGGATGGGAGAGAGGGAGGTTAAACCCCAATACTGTTTACTGCTATCTTTCCAGCCCTAAAACAATGCCAGTACATAGTGTTCAGCATTTAAGAAATAAGCAAAAACCTCAAGTAGAAAACAAACAAAAAATTCCAAGTAAACTGATGTGGTACTAACTGTACTTGTTAGTAGATTAGAGAAAGGAGGGATTGCTTTGACGTGAGATAGGGGGTCAGAGAAAACATCTAGGAGAAGGAGGACTGAAGCTGACCTAGAAAGAGGCAAAGATTTGGTACAGTGAGGTACAGTGAGAGAGCATTCCAGGTGGTCACTCCATGGGCAGAAGCACAGAAGTAGGAAAATAATAGTGCTAATGGGACACACTAAAGAGAATTTTCTGCCAGAGCTTTGAGGGTGTTTGTGCATGATATGATGAAATAGTTGGTCGGTCTCAATGCAGAGTGACTTTTATCATGTTTATATTTCCAGCACCTAGGTCAGTGCCTGATGAATCACAGGTGCTCTGTAAATGTACATTGAATGTATGAACTGCGTTTTGATCTTACCTGGATTACTTCAGAATTTCTGATAAGCAAGAGATAAGAGAAAGACTGTGGATTTGGAGGCGCTTCTGCTGCTAATGAATGGAATGACGCACCATTGGAGGTTTGCTAGACCTATTAACTCTTACATACTGCTGAAATGAGAAAATTTCTCATCTCCCAAGTCCAGGGATCAATCAGTTCACTCTGTGCTCTCACGCAGGAGCTGATTAAACTTTGCTGAAGATTTAACAGTCACAGAGGGGGAGATGTTCTGCTAGCCCAAAGGCAGTACCTCTCTAGCAATTCAAATCCACCAACAGCTCTACAGGAGAAGGATGGACATTCTCCTCCTGTGTGACCCTCCAGCCTTGAAAAACCCGCTGGAGGTTCAGCTGTGTCGTTCTGACTTGACAGCAATAAGTTTGAGGGTGCTTTTGTTGTATTTGTATTTTTTTACTCTTTCAGCAAAAGTTGGAGACTTCTTCTGAGCATAATGTTTAAACTTTTAACTTCATTCTGATGTGTTCAGTGTCTGTCATAAATGCTGGGTGGTATCTTTATTCCCCCGAAAGAGCTGAAGTTGGTCTGAAAGAGCTGACACTGGTCTTGCCCCTGTTGTTGAAATGAGAGAAGGCTTAAGAACTGCCCTCACTTCTCATCCTGTGACTCCTAGGGCTAGGGAGGATCTACAGGCACTAGTTATGTTAGGTGTGTCACTAATTATGACCATTGCAGAAGTGATTCTGGCTAAAGCAAGTGAAAGATTTCTGAGCAAATGAGACCATACATTTAAATACTTCCTAAATCAGCATGTTCTCTTAAGGTTTTGAAATGGTAAACAGTAGGACCTCTGTACCCCCACTTCCAGGACCCAGTGTTATTTAGATAGCGCTGTGATTTATATGAGCTGGCATCTTCCACTGAACTGGTGCTGTAAATTGCAACTCTACATTTGTCTACATTTGTGTGAGGGACTTAGTGAAACCGATAATAATGAGGGCTTATAGCACAAATGTTCCAGACTACATAGGTCTTTGTTTACTTATCTATTTACGACCGTCTTTATTCTGCAAGGGAGTTTGGTGACATCGTCCATATGTCAACCCACAGGTCTCTCTGCTGGTTCAAATCTCTATCTTCTTTGTGGGGGGGCGGGAAGGGGGAGCAGATGAACAGTCTCTTCCCTTGCGATTTACAGCTTCCTGAAACCCCCTGGAGGGTCAATTATGAGTCGGTTCTGACTTGATGGCCACAGCACTTACTCAGCAAAAGCTTTGTGTTTCTCCTTAAGCTACAAAATGCCCCTTTTTTCTCCCCATGTCTTTCCTCTTACTACTTGGGCTTCGGTCTTAACTTCTTAAAGCACTCCCTGATGACCTTAATACACCCAGATCTTTCAAGCTTCTCCTTCTTTGTAATATGTTATCTGTAATCTATAATAGCTCATTTATCATACTTTGCTTGCATAGCTTTCATAGTGTATTGCTACTGGAAATAGTCCTGAGAATCAGAAAATCAAGGATTTCTAGTAGAAGAAAAATGTAACTTAAGTTTATGTTCTTCAGACTTCACTTATTTACTGTCTATTTCCTTCAGGGCAAGATAACATTATGCTTACGACTGCTTGTTCTGGGTTTAGATTGCCTAGATTTATATTCTGTTACCACCATTGCCTACCTATTTGATTTTATACACGTTTACAGACATTTTGAGCCTTTGTTTCTGCATCTGTAAAGTGGGGATAATGCTAGTTGCTGTACAGATATTGTCTTAGATATTGTGTGTAGGGTACATAGAACAATTCCTGGCATTTTAGAAATGTTCGTTGTTAGCCATTCTCAGTTCAGTTCAGCACGTACATTTTTGCTGTACCACACCTGCTGTGTGCAAAGTACCATGCTGGTCACACACTATTTGGTATTCTTCCACACTTGGGTATCTTTTCAAATCTACAGCAGATTATGAGTAGATAAGGGAGAAGACCTGCTCAGACAGGCATGCTGATGTCATTCATTTATCAAGAATTTACCCATCAGCTACTTTGTTCCATGCCACTTGCTAGATACATTGCAAAATTTATCTTATATTTAGCACATAGTAAGTGTTCTCTTAGAATGTTTATAGGAATCTTTGTGACAGATTGACAAAATAAGAGATGGAAAATGCATTAAAAATGTAGCCTCTTTTATCTCTACCTGGTGGCGTCCAATAAGAGCTGCACTGCTAGCCAAAAGGCCACCCTTTCCAGCAGTTCTGAGGGATGGAAATAAGCATTCTCCTCCTATGCTATTTACAGCCTCTGAAAATATGAAGGATTATCAGCTATGAGTCAGTTAGCATAAATATATTAGGCCTACTGATCTGGTTACACCTCCAGGCGTCATTGTACTATAGCTTCTCTGTCTCTCATTTCTTTTGAGCTAAAATTAACTCATGGCTGACCCTCCAGCAGATTTTTGAGAGGCTGTAAATCCCATGGAAGGAGTTCATCCATATTTTTTCCCATAGAGCCACTGGTGAATTTGAACCACCTGAATGATACCAGCTTTGGGTTGGAAGTACAACTTCCAACAGTCTATGCCACCAGAGCATAACCAGAGCATGTTTATTACAAGTTTCAATCATACTTATAACTTGGGTGCTGTTGAGTTGGAACTGACTCACATCTGACCGTCCAGAAGGTTTTCAGAAGCAGTAAATCATATGGGATGAGATTGCCCGTCTTTTTTCCTCAGAGCAACTGTTAGATTCAAACTGTGTGCCTTTGAGTTTGCAGTGCAACTTCTTATGTTAAATAAAACTTATTAATGAAAGTAAGGGGGAAACATTTTAAGTTTCTATCTAATGTGATTTAAATGTTATTTCTGTTATTTACAAAGTAAACTATAAACTATAAATTGTCGAGAAGGTATAGTTATACAAAGTATCTAACCTGCCAAATATTCTGGATAGTATGGATCTTTATATTTATGCAATACTTGCCATATGATAATTGTTTAAAGGATGCATGCCTTAAATTTGGTGAGAGACAGGCACTGCGTTAAACATCTTTTTAACTCATGATATTTTTTAGCTCTGGACACATAGCAGGAACTCTGTTCTTATGCAGTGAAGGAGAGTTTGATATATTTCATGAACCCACTGCTTTCCAGTAGAGCAACTCTCATGAAAAAATATAGTACAATTTATGTTAAAAGTA